GTTAAAGGCATGTCTGCTAGGGGTGATCCTTCATCTGAATAATGAGGGGATTCACTCTGACATGGCAAGGTGACTGATGGCTTGGACCATAATTTCAGTAGGATGTATGTGTTGTCTTTAAACAACAGGTGCCAATTCACCTCCATGTTAAAGCGTCACCATGCTAAATATGAATTTTTGTGTGGGAGGGACTGGTTTTCAAAAAGCAAACCCATACTTGTCATATAACTCTTTAGATCTCAACTCTGTACAGAGGTGGCAGAAATTCCCAGTGTTGTGTACTCTGCTGTGGCCCACAACTGATAGCAGTGGTGGCGGCGGTGATGATGATAATAGCTATGGTGAAGGACCACTTGAAAGAGTGGTAGAGGTTCACAGAGAGCAACTTTTCCCAATATATAGGGATTGCCTATATATTGTAGGAGTGAGGGATGTGCCCAGCCACAGAAGCCAGTGCCCTCTTATCTTTTACAGGATGGCTTTTCTTCTGCATGTTGCCTTTTGTTTGTTTCTTACAGACTCCAGCATACTTGTACCTTCTGCAGAAGTTCCCCTCTGTGTTTGCTTTCCTACCGCTGCTGCTTGAACAGGGTTTCAGAAAGGTTACATGCCAGTTTACTCTAGGTTAGAGACTTCCCGTCTGTCCTTTGCTATGTTTACTCAGGATGAGATCATGTTCATTCAGTTCACTGTTGAGTGTGTGCGAGTGTGAGCGTGTAAATGGCATTTATAATTAAACCTCGGCTATAAACTGACTTCAGGAGCAAACCAGAGAGCAACATTGGGGCAGGGGAGGGGAAACCACATATTCCTGTGGCTTTTCTTTTTGTAAAAAAAGAAATGCTTTTCTTAGAATCTGGAGAGTGTGTCTGACTCCATCCTCTCAGCACATCCTGCAGCAGAGAGTCCAGCAGTGTTCCAGTAAATGCTCAGCAGCACAGTATGTACACACAGGGCAGGAAAAAGGTCCCTACTGTGAAATCAATGCATTGTGAGTGTATGTTCCAGTGCACAGTGGAGAACTCCTATGTATGTGGGTTGTTGGCCAGCTTCACAGCAGTACTGCATCATCTTCCAATATCAGCTGCTGTCTCTCTAGGCTGTTTCCCTTGGCAAGGGATTTCCACAAACTCCTGCCACTCTCGAGCCAACACAGCCCTTCATTTCTTTATTGTGTCTTTCTGCCCACAAGGCCTTGCAAAGCCATCCACAACAAAAATGATAAAAAACATTCTTTGCAAAAGAGATAAAAAAGCAATTTTAAAATGAAAAGTCATCCTTTAAAAATAAAAGAATACCAACCATCAGTTTCAAAATCAGTTCTAA